AAACAAAAAAGAGTTGTACATATAAAATGATTAAAATGATCTGTGTCCTAAGCACAAATAGAAAGAAATGGTAAAGAAGTAAAATTAGTTTTTAAGATCATGAATACGGTTAATTTCAGTTATGTTCTTAGGACACAATGCATTCGTTGTATAAAATTGCTAATTAATGATTATTTTCTATAAATAAGGCTTCTTTATCATAATTTCCTCTATACGAATACTTTTTACACTTACTATATGATTATGTGAGTGTGCGGCAATATTTTGTTTAGTGTGTCGGTGACAGCGAAGTGTTCTACATTTAATACTATTGTACACAAATTACAGGCAAATGACTTTTTTACCAACATTTTTAATTAGTCAAATTTTAAAAACGTTTATACTTAAAAATTTGCTTTACGAAAAAAATAAATTACACTTTTATTGCTTAATTTTTCACAATTTTCACGAATTTACATTGCAATAATATTATTCTCGAATTTCGATTTATATAAATTATATTTTTAAATTAAAGAATATACTTACAATTAGATGTATTATTCAAGAAAAATTCGAAATCGAAAAGAGAAAAATGTTTAAAAATGTAAGAAAAAAGTATTTATTGCGCTGTTCCTAAGATCGATTCTTTGAAATCTGTAAGGCAAAATATTTGAATTTTGTAAAATCGTTCTAAGAGTATTATTAAGACTATGATTTTGACAATTAAGAAAAAACGAGATTTTCTCTAAAAATCAAAAATATTATATTCTAAATATCAAAAAATATATTTTTTCTTCTGTATATATGTATGTGTGTGTGTGTGTGTGTGTGTGTGTGTGTGTGTGTGTAATTATACCTTATTTAATAAATAGATCAAATATACTGTATTATCTGAAGCAAATGAAAAACACAAGAAAGATAATTTTCACTTCCATCAATTCAAAAGAAAGTGATAAATATATTTTTAAAAATATTCCCTGGTGGAAAAAAATCGCTGAAATTATGAAATAATATAAAGTTTAAGGAAAATTAATGAAAATATTTGAAAAATAATGAAATAAGAACAAAGTATACAATTATTTTTACAGATTTATTAATGAATTACCAAAAACAAAAACAGGATAATGTTGGAATCAATAGTTGAAAGAATGTAACGAAATCTGCTGAAAATTAATGAAATCAGTTAATATTGTAATGAAAAGCATTGAATTGATCTTTTTAGGAGTGTCGTTCGAAGGTGTCGATTCTCGCATATAAAATTTAATCGTGTTCTCTGTATAACCAGTCCCTGTATTCTGTAATTTGTTATGCAATCGTTATGTGCTCATAACGACAGTTGCGCAGATATTTTATATAGTACAAAAGCTGCGCAACTGTCGTTATAAACACATAACGACTGGCTGGTATAAAGAAAAGCTGATCTATATAACCGAAGCTCAGATTATCTGCAGTCGAATTTATAACATATTTTTTGCATGCATTCTAACATTGTAGTTTTGTATCAATGCAAAACTAAATATAACAATATTTTGTATTGAATTATTTATAAAAGATTAACGAATTGTAATAAAATCTTAATAAATTTTTATAAAATTTTAATGAAGTAATACTAAAAGTGATTCAATTTTGATTTTAATATGAAATTCAGTGTAATATTTCATCATTATTCATTACAATTCAGGAAAAATTTTCCATCAGGATATATCTTTAAATTCTAAATAGTAATATAAAATAATACAATTGTGAAAAGGGCTCTAAGAGTCAAACGCAGTTGATGCAGCATAGATATTTTATATATATAACAAGACAAAGTCTATTTATTAAATCTATGTAAATTTAAATGGCGATACAAAATAAACGTTTTAGCACCATTTCGAATCATCCTCAGCGATCTCAAAAAGAGATTAAAGTATAGGCTTCAATCGTGTATCCTTTACATTCCACATGATTGCGGCAAATTCTACTTGGAAAAAAGAAAAAAGCCTCGCGTTTACTGTGTCGAAAATAAATTGCAAAAGGTAATCATTCCCTGAAAGAATTTTTACTTATATAATATAAATTGTTGAAAACGAAGAACGTAAATTCTAAAACTAGTCTTAAGGTCTCTAAAAATATATTCTCAGGCCACCTTTAAATGTAATTCCATCTCTTGATTATACTGTATAGCAAGATCCGTTGAGACATTGGTGAACAAAAAACCTACGTCCAAGAAAATTAAAATAAAATCGGCTTGTAGACAATGAATAAAATACTTTTAAAATGTATTTAGAGATACAGATACATGTGCGAAAGTGTATCTATATATAGATACAGATACTTTAAAAGTATCTTCAGATACATATAAAATACTTTTAAATTACATTTTGTATTTTGTTATAATTATGGTAGTATTAAGAAACATACTAAATAAATTAATCACTTTTAGTTTCGTTATTTTGAAGACATTAAACCATAATATAATAATAAAGTAACTAAAAATTCTTGTATAAATCACACATGCTGTTTTTTATAAACAAAAATCGGAGTTTCGGCACTAACAATACTTAATCTTTTATCATTCCTATTATAACATAATACGAAAACTCGACAAACGAAATTTTGCAAAAACTTGCAATTAAAATGATTTACGATAAAATATTTATTATTAGTGTTACAAATCAAACTTATATTTGTTCAGACCTTAATCAGGAGTACGTTAACACACATGTGATAGAATCATGCCGTTGCTAAGGAAATGTATCTGAAAATCACAATTCAGATTTATTTTTGTATCTAGATACAGATACAGATATACTCGAATTTGAATGTATCTCAGATACAGATTAGATATACAAAATGTATCTATACATATATCTAGATACATATATAAAGATATCCAATACTGCTTGTAGACTTGGTAATTTGTAAATTGAAAGCTATTACCAACATGTACTTTCAGGTGTAGATATGTACTTAAAAATGAATGCAAAAAAGCAGCCAAAGAATGCAAAGAGCTATCGATAGATGAAATAATAATTCTATAGTATGCCAGTTTATGAACCTTGGGGAGCCCACATAAACTCTTGGAATCAATTCGTCACTGCAGTACTTTATGTAAACAGTGAAATGAATTCCCTGTCTTTTCATCTTGTGAACAAAACCTGTACTTACATAAGTATCTTGTAGAATTTCTCATACATATAATTTGACTTTTTTCATGATTTTGCGAACAAGCTCAAGTTTGTTAAAAGATTATTATTTATCTCGAGGATTTTTTAAATTGAACTAAATGATGCGCACAGAATGATTATTAGCATCCTTTTCATAATTGTATCGTTACTTGTGATGTGTAGTAGAGTCTTATTTTTAATTCTTATTTCTTCCATATATATAGTCTGATAAAAAAATAATTCGTTTAATACTTACGGGTATTCTCTTCAAAGTAGCTATGCGGTTTGCGAATTATTTCCTTGATACATCGTGTCTTAATATCGTTAAAAACTAGCGTTGCAATTTTGTTCATACTACTCAGAAATAATACCTAATAAAATAGTTACTTTTTTCACTGATGAGGTGAATTACAATGTTCATAAACTGCTGGCATTTAATGATGTCTCAAGACACGGAAATAATCCGCAAATAGCGTAAATCTTTTGAAAATAATTAGTTTATTTCAATTATTTTGAGAAATAAAAGAAATTGATCTTTAGAGCGTGTTATTTTTTAATACATTATATATTTGATACATTTACATAAATTTAATTAAATAAAAGCACTTGCCTGATACATAGCTTCGTCGCATGCTCCTTGTATCCCTAAATTGATCATTGTGTTTTGCAGCGATCTTCCCATATAATATTCCAAAGATAAATAATATACTCTCTGGAAAAAAAAGCAAGATTTGCAATACAATAGAAATACCCTATTTGATTTTAAAGTTATATCATATAAACGCCAAGTCATGCTATGTAATGACACGTATCAGTAAAAGATTTGATATCAATAATTGGCATCAAGTTATAATCCCCAAAAAATTGCGTAATTTAATTCAACTCACAAATGAGACATATTTTACTTAACCCATTTATTTATTTTTATTTATTTTATTTATTTTATACTGTTACCTCAATTAATCCTAATGTGATGAAATCCATTTCATAGAAGTGTAAATTATAGTGTCATTTAGCAAAATAGATATTTTGAAGACCCTCGCTTTGCTACACTTTATAACGTGAAGCGAAATTCACCTCATCTTTCCTCCTGCCTAGGAGTATATGATTAATATTTTACACACGAAGGGAGGTTCAAAAAAGAAATCAAACCTAAATTTTGATGTGGGGTGATCCTTCACGCTTCACGTGGATTATAGTTGTGCATCCCTTGGCAAGAATAATTTTATTTCACGTGGAAAGTCATTATGCAAGCAGGGTTTGTGATAGTTCTTAACATTAGTTCTTAATATTGTAGCAGAAATAAGACGTTATTTATTAAATTCTTTTTATTAATAGCTTTTTGACAAATAACGACTGACGGGTAAAACTTGTCAGAGGTTACTCAGGATCATGACCTTGATAATATGTGTCAAGGAGCGGGGTCCCCTCGTTATATTTACATAATCTTTTATACAACTGATATGTATCACTTGAGTTAAGTAAAATACGTCTCACTTAAGTTGAGTTAAATAACGCAATTTTTTGAGATTATAACTTGGCGCTACTTGATATTTTTTAATTTACTAATTTTTGTCTAGAAACACGTATTCTTAACGCCTTCTTAAAATCTTTTTTTAAAAAAGGTAAATTTTTACTGTTTTATCAATTACAAAGATACGTATCATGTATCTTGCAATTTATACTTATATAAAAATTTAATTATCATAAAGTATTCCCGCCTTAAACATTTTCAAATGATAATCAGTATTAAATAATACTATGTTAGTTATAATACTATACTAATATAACACATTTCATAAAAACGATTTTTTTAATATATAATAGATAAGAAATATTGAAGAAGAAAACAAAGAACTTTAATGACTTCATTCATCTTTATTAACTTTTGTATTTTGCGAAACGCTGATGTTTAATCAGTAATTAATAGTTTATTTGGTGAAGAAGAAGAACTAAAAGCTTACGATTATATTCTATTACATCTTCTTATAATATGTTCTCATGAGGCTAAAGTAATTTCTCTTTTTCAGTCTTCTAAAAAAATTGATATTATTTTGTTCATAAATGTTTCACTAAAGCTAATACGTTAGGTTTTTTGATTTCTTCTTCAAGCCTCGAATCCTTCTATTTGTTCGAATAATCGTCTTTACGAAATACGTTTGTATTTTAACATATTATTTAACATTATAGAAAGTCTTTCAAAAATGTATAAGTGAAACTTTAAAAATAAAAATAAAAATATATCTTCATTATTAAAAGATCAGTAATGATAAAATATTCTACTCTGATATATTTTGATGCAACATTACAAAATATATAATGTATATACACTTTTAATATTTTTATACACAGAATGAGATCAATTGATATAAAACACAAAAATCTTTTAATATAAAAAAAATATACAGTTGCGTATTGCAGATTGCATTATACTTTCTACTTTTTGTTACGCACATCTATGCACTTCCTTCATATTGACTGATTAATCATAATCATACTTTCGTATATACAAAGGTTAAGATAAGATCACTAAAAATGCATATTTTACGTATACATTTAAAATTATTAAATCTTTATCATATATGTATATACAAGATGCAGCTTTTATCTGAATTCTTATAAACATTCTCTAGATATACATATGTATATCTAGCTACGAAGCACATTACGTAGCATGCTATTATTGATAAATCGCATTATCCAATTTTTAATGCTCTGATGCGTTTTTTTCTTAATGAACTGTAATCGACTTATGAACCACAAAGACTTCCTATTTGCATACGATTGCAAAATATTTCTGATAAGCAAAATAATGCAATAATATAAAATTTTCAAGTTATCTACAATTCTATAGATTTTCTTATTGAAAAGAAATTTTGCTTTAAAATATGGATTTAGATAGACAGGCGTTGTCTTTTTATTTTATTGTATATAAACATCTAATAGTATTTGCAAAAATATAATGAAAATTAACGCAATGGACGTGATTTTCTTAAGTATTATTTTCCATTATCGAACAATATTTCTCCAAATCCTTAATTTTCGATTTTATATATTAACCCTTATGTGGCCAACCAAAAAATCTTGTACCGGGGCCAACCGAGGTACCCGGGTACCTCTATACAAATTTATGGCTAAAAACGTGCTGTAGCCTTAGTTATCTTTATCTATTTGATGGATATTGATTTATTTACAGTTGACGAATATATTCTAAGCTAAATATAATAGTATTATTGTATATAGTGACCTTTTGTTATCCTTAGTCAGATATAAAACGCTGGCAGCTATGCCGTTACCCTCTTTATTTCGAAGGCCAGGTGCATTGAACTAAAAAGGTAGGGAAGTAGAAGGATCTCTACATTCTTCTATACCTGAGTAATGTTCTAGAATATTTTTGAAACGAATGTATACCCAGTGTTCACAGATTTAGAACGAAACGTACGGAGGTGGGGGAAGCTCCAGCACTACTTTTTTTGAAACTCGAAATTTTTTGTGAAAATAAATAAAAAAAAAACTTTCTAATGCATAATTTTATAGGAAATCGGTCAAATAATGGGGATCCGAGACGATTTTAGCCAATATTTTTAAGAAAAAAAGTTATTCAACAAAATGTGCGACCATAGGTACCCGGGTACCTGGTTGGCCACATAAGGGTTAATTTCTGTGTAATGGATGTGTTCAGCACACTTTTTATCTTTGAAATTCTATAATATACGTAAAGCAACGTCTACAATTTTGGAATTTTAATGGAACTTAAGCCTTAAACTTAATCATAGTCGATTATTCTCCTCACATTCGATTGTGATTGGTTAATTTCTTACGGCTTAAGGGATCCCTCACACACATTCTGTAACCATAAGACGTACCATAAGAATTAACCAATCACAGCAGAGAATTTTTAGACAATTCTAGACTGTGACTGGCTAATTTTTGCGATACGTATTAAGATTACTGTTACAATTAAAATCTCATTGCAAACGTCGCTTAATGTAAATTATAGCATGTTAGCTCGCTAATATCATTGCAAGCGCATTCTGAATATGGGTCTGTTCTTTTCAGTTAAATTTTTTGCACGAATTCCTTTTTTCTCTCGACGGTTGGAGAAGAAAAGAGAACAAATAAAACGGTGCAAAGAATTCAACTAAAAGGAACAGACCTATAAAAGCGTATTAAAACCCGGTTCCACCAATAAGTTTATTCGCATCACATGCTTCAATATGTTTCTACCAAAGCTCCTACTTATTCCAACATGCTCGTTTGAATGCGAACAATGTAAGATTAACTCGATTTAATTTGCTCTTTATTTTTTCCTAACTGCCAGAATTAGAAAAGATAAACATTAAGTTAAACCGAGATTAAAATTAATTTCACATTGGTGGAATCGAGTCTAATAACAGAAGATCTTAGGTTAATCGTCAATTGTCAAAATGAAGAGTAATAAAGAGAATCTGTACGATTACGGCAATGAAACACAAACATAATGAATGAAAATCGATTGACAAAATAATGAAATGCAAAGTTGTAGAGATCATGCCGATTTACAGATTAATTATACAAGACATGAATGGGTACCTTAGGATCTTTCTCGTAATAATGCTGCTGAGTGCGAATCCATCGTGATACGAGATTGTCCTTGACACTGTGGGCCAAGGCGAAGAAATAATCGCGACTTGTGGCGACATTACGATCCTTCACTAGGGTGTAGTGAAGATGCCTATTAAAGGTCTTCTTGAAGTTCCCAACGTTCTCAACGTCAACGATGCCACGCACCGAAATCTGCTTTCTCTTTTCATGATCGCTGTTCGGAATTGACATGATGGCGATTTTAATCGGTTCGATTACGTGTAGTGCGACAAACTGCTACGATAACGTGAACACGACCAACACGATGCGAATCGCCAAAGGCGAATGATACGCTGCTCAGTTCGAAAGGCAATGATCACCTTGCTTCAAGGTGACGCATGCGCTCGAACAGTTGCGTACTTACATACACGTGGCGGCAACAGTTTGAATCGATAAAGAAGCGTTTTCATGAGCCGCTCAAACTGGCCGTTTCAGCGACAAAAAGAATCACGTGGTGACTTTGGATGCGTTCGGAAGACGCTATTACAGCTATTTTTTGTCATTCTATTCTTGTTTTACGTCTAACGAACGATGAAGATAGGATGACACAAATAGTGCCTTCCAGGGATGAAAATATGCGTGACAGGAAAATATTAGATCTGTTCGCGTTACTTGCACTTTTTACACTCATTTTCGCTTTGTCTCTTTTCAATATCCAGATATATATCTATCTCATTCAAAAATTTTTGAGAATTTCAAGCAACGTGAACAGATCAATTATACAATTCTATACATAATGCCTACTGCACATTGGATGCGATCAGCGATATCTAATAAAAGCTCTGCTTTTTCGCAAGTGACGATACAAACTGGAGTTCTCATTGAATATCGCATTCAGTGTGCAGTAGGCATAATACGCAGAATTGTGTATAAAATAAAATGTAGAAAACGTGCATTTCGTACGATTTACGGTTTGCGGTTCTATTGTTAAAATTCCTAAATTTTAAATTCTTTTTACTGTACAACAGTTTCTCTTTCCCTTTTCTTAAAATAAATTCTCTACTCGAAATTGTTTCAAAGAAACTTATCTAAAAAACGTTCTCATGTTCGAAACCAAAAAAAAATCTTACTATTATAAATGTAGAAGTTTATCATATTAAATTAGAGAATTTCGTATAAAATAAGTATTGAGTTTATTAGATATTTTTAAAACTATCTTAGAATTCAATAGAAAAGATATTATTTCAAATGTACAAGAGATATAGGATAAATACGAAAAGAACAGCGATTATTTTATTTAATATCATTTATTTATAAATTAATGCGGATGCGAATGCAGATGCAATAATGAAAACGACAAGAAGCATATTATGCATGTTATAATTCACATTCTTAACATTTTGATATCGGTCCCGATAAAAACACGTGTTCTAATAATTGTAGATATGATATAAAGTTGCGTCTTTATCGTTTACCGTTTAATATATTTCGTGCCTTTTCACTTAAGATCATTTTCTTCGATAGTCGTCCCTTCCATTCATATGCACACATGCGCACTTGTACACATATACATACGTACATTATACAGCATATGCATATATGATGTGTATATATATATATATTTGCGAGTGCGTACATAACGATATAATTACAATTAATGATGCAGTAGCAATAATATTATGCAAACGTCAACGTCATTGAGAGACAGATACAATATACACGTTTCTGCATAATTTAATTCATTAAATCTCCATTTAATTCTCTCAAACACAACAACTGAAAACATCAAGATGTTAGGGGATATCGCTGTAAATTAGGTAATTGTAAGATCTTCAAAGTCGCTGACGAATAAATTCTATTTATACGTTGGACATCTCGTATTCGCCATTCTTTTCTATTCTAAATCTTTAAAGTATCACTATCTTTTCCGACACCCCTCCCCTATTTCTCATTTATATCTTGTCGTAAAACGATTATTTTGGCGGCGTCCGATCCGCGAAATAATGATCCAAGCGAAATACGACGTTCCGACGAAGATAGGACTAAGATAAATCACATACAGCCTTAGTATTCATTCTCTCTCACATATTCATAAGCATTCATTCTACTTTTTTTTTATTTTCTCGTTTGCTTTCATACTTCTCTCTTTTCAGAAGAGAAAAACAAAGGACATCATCGGATAGGTAAAAACACGAAGTTTATGATAACCGTAAAACACATTATTTGTCAAATAGTACGACGAAAAAGAAGGAAGGGAGAGACGAAGGGCTGATTTCATCCTTGAAAGCAACCCCGCGCACATTGCATTGTTTGCTGGCTAAAAACATGCCGTCGCTTTTTATCGTAATAATAAACGATTAATTAATCACTAAGTGTTATTTTTCTTTTTCTTTCTTTCTCTCGCGGTGTTTACTTCCTCAATAAGAATTGCTTTCGTAATTAGAATGTCGATGTACGCGTGCACGATCCTTGCCAACCTCAAAAAATGATTGATATTCTTCTCCGGAAATACAACAGCCAAGCTCGCAAAGAACTCCTGCCGCCAATAATTCCCATCTCCCGCGTGGTTACAAAGTTCAATCCTCGTTTTAATAATGCAAGTATTCTCCTCGATCGTGTATTAGTTTTCTTACACGCGCTTTCAACCTGTTCTGTCACTTTTCATGTTTCTTTCGTTTGCTTCTAACTTAAACTTTTCTATATTTGCTGACTCAGCTGTTCGTTGGATTGTTGCCACTCTGACTTTCTTTTATTCTTCTTTTATTGGCTCAGTCTTTTTGCCAAGAGGGATTGCCGCCTTCACTCTAAAACAGTTGAATAATTGATGTTTAAGAAACATTATAGCAAAAATACAAGAAGCAATAAAAAAAGAATTCAACGTATTTATTCTCTTTCCATAATTTTATTGGATAGAAATAATACTTTAGTGCAAGAATTGAATTTGCGTGTATGTAATTTTATTAAACGTTACTACAAAGCGAAGATATATATTTTGTGAGTTCACAATTTTCTCTTATATATGTAAAAACGATTTTTATTTGTCGTATTTCTATTGTTTAAAGAATATAAAAATTAATTATATTTGTTTATGAATCCAAATTTGAAATCAGAAGATGATTTCAATTCTTAGTATATAAATGAGTAGTATATAAACGAAAACTATATTCAGTCATGATAGATTTTGGTGCCTAAAATAATGTGAATTTTTACAATTTTCTAGTGCAAGTAAATTATACGTCGATAATTTATATCACAAAAGCATATTTTTTTCTACAATGAGTGCATTCAGTACTACCACTCACTGAGCGCTATTTGGTGTATATTTTTAGATACAATAAAATATGCCAATCAAATGCAAGCGCTCACTTGAGCTCACTTGAGCACTCAGTAAGCGGTTGTACTAAACGCACCCATTATGTAATTACAAGTAAACTGCGTATGCATTAAAATAGATTTAATTAAAGTACATAGTAATATAATATATTTTAAATTTTTAACGCAATAAATAAGATAAAATTTTTTGCATAATAAAAGAGAAAAAATTTATTGCAGTTTTTATAGAAAAAATTTCCTTCATACAATTTCTCATAAATTGAGGAAATCTCTGTTCAACTTACTTGGTGGTAATTTCACTGATCTTTGTCTGCACCAAGGCCAAATTCTGATCGATCTGCTCTTGATTCGTTTCATAGACCTTAGGCAGTGTAAAGAGAGCAACCACTCCTGAAAGATAAAATGAACTGATTATTGAATTGATTCTATGCATAGTTGTAAAATATAGAGCAATGTACAATAAAAAAAGAATTTACCGATTATAATAAGAGTCATGCCATTGAACCAAGAACCCACGTAAGTGAGACACCATAGCAAAACGCCAAATTTAAGAGAATCGACGAAATCTTCAACGAGGAAAAGTCTGCGCAATTCACTGACAGCTGCATTAGCATGTGCAACTGCAACATCTGCGACTTCATGCACTTTCTCAGCTGGTAATGTCAGATCCAGATCAAGAATGTCTCTACAATATATAATATAATGGTTAAATAATGGTTTAATTAAAGCAAAGTTTATTCGAAATTATCATAAATAAATTAGCTAGATTGTTTCTATATTCAAAATATTTACATATTAACTTTTTACACATCCGTATACAGTTACATTTTATAAATTAATAAATACACATTGGAAGCTATTATCAATGTCGTCCAATATTTTGAAAATTCTATGATAATTTCAATAAAATTATGCAATTATACTCATTTTGAAAATATGTTAAACTAAATATGTTAATCAACAAAATAAAGAACGTATATATGATGTTTTTAAAAGATTTTTCATTATTTTATACTTACTTAAATGGATGGCCGTCCGAGGTCTTCTGAACTGCTTGAAGAACAGTTTTGTAGATACGGAAAATAATGGTACCACTAAGGGCAAGAAGTGACATATAAGCCAGTACGCTAATCAGACTAAAATAGGCCAATGACAGAAGTACGCCCAGTATCGTGCCGAACACAATTCCTGACTTTTTTGGATCGCGCCAGTATATCAGAGCTGCCACTGTAAACAGAAATAAATAAAGACATTACAAAAAAGGATAAAAGAAAAATTAAATTAATATAAGATCGTAAATATCTTACTAATAATCCATTATTATTTTAATTTAACGTTGTTGGCAAATTAAGACTGTACTAATTATTATAATACGGGACTATATACACATATGTGATCCGCGTTTAAACAACTTTTCTTTTTATAATGATAAATATCACTTCTGTACTGCACAACAATTATATGGTTGTTGGCATTGTCAGATCCTTCAATTAATTTTAAATAAAATCAATCTATTAAGTTTTATTTAAGTTTTATTTCAAGGAGTTTGTTAAAAAATTAAGTTTATAATGGAATTGTCAATAAAGGTAATATCGCGATGTTATCTTTATTGACAGTTCCGTTAAAAATTTTATTTAAAAAAAAACTTAAATCAAAATATCTTTCATCTCAGTTGATAATAGTCAATAGTTAACAGGGTGACCAGACGTCCACTTTTTCCCAAACATGTATTCCTTTAAAAACATTCGGGGACGTCTGATCATTCTTTCTGGCCAGGCTTTCAACATCCGGGGTGTATTCTTTTCAGTTTTTCATTTTGAAAAAGAGAGAGAGATCGGAAGTTATTAACATATCACATGACCCATCGCACAAGAAATATGTACATAGTAATCACTAGATTATTACTATATATATATATATATCTGTGATAAAATATTTGAAAATTATTAAGTATTATTATACAGTGTCCCATTTTAAATAATGCATTAAGATTTCTCGAAAACTATGATAGATACGGA